CTGGCCTATGGGTGTATGGCACTTGAGCTGATTTTTACCTCCTGTAGAGCTCTCAATTTCAGGCTACATGGGAGGCCTTTACGTACCCAGACATAAGGTGATGTTTGTTAACAGCTCCTGGGAAGGCTGAGGCTTTCTGCTGGGCCCTGTGGAATGGGCTGCCTTGAATTGTGGCAGCTTTCTTGCTTCTGTGCAAGGCTGTGGTTTGTTCCTGCTGCCCTGTTCATTCTTGCAGGAGTTTGGAACACAGTTCCTGCCTAAAAACTAGTAGAACGGCACTATTTGTTGTGGCACAGTGCCACGTCATGTAACAGTTGGGTCAGTGCTTAGGATGTGACATAAAACATGCGTGCACTGTCTATGGCAGCAGTGAGGTGATTGCAGACTAGCAAGAACTCATTTCTGCTCTCATTAAGCCTTGTGGCCAAACGTAATTAGACTTCAACTGGAAGAGTGGGGTTTCTTTCTAAATGGAGTGGGGTTTTTTTGGTAGAGATAGAGGTTTTTGGTTTTGATTTTTTTAAAAATTAAAAATATGCTCAAGAAGCAAGAGCCAAGTGTCACCCCTTGCACGTGTCCATGGAAGCAGCTTCCATACGAATACACAAGCGAGAATGGCAACGGGGGGTAACTGCAAAAGCAAAATTAATCATACTTGAATCACACTTATTAGTGTCGAACTATTTATTGCAACATAGAAAGGGGAAAACACGTAAAACAATAAAATCAGTCATTAGGTAAATACTAGCATAGGATCAATGATTTTAAGAGAGCTTTGTTAGTGTATACCGAATGAGGATTGTAGTCTTTTGTTCAAAATTTTCTTATGTAAAGATTTTTTTTCCGTGTCACCAGAAGTGTGGAAAAGGTATAACTGGAAGATTATTAGCCTTTGCACAACAGAAGACACTGAAATTTTCCAGGATGATTTTTTCTACAGAGTTATAAATTAATATTTGTGTTACTAGTTCAGTAGTGTAGCGTAAAATAAGTTATCTGTGCTGCTGTAAAATGCCTGTGTCTTAAAGTTCCTACAAGACAGTCTACATGCCTACTTTAAGAAAAGTAAACAAAGAATGAGAAGAAAAAGAAATTAACTTGGCTAAGATTCAAAGCCTTGTTAAGATATGTGGCAAGAAATTGGACACAAAATTGGAGGGAGAAGAAAGTAAAGAATATAATTAAAAGGTTATTTTCTCCTCTTTCGAGTTACATATCTTTTTTATTCATATATACTTGTTGAACTTGCATGTAAATGATTGATTGACTCAGTGAACTCATTGTAATAAATTGTTTGATGTGCTATCTTGAAGAAAAATCTTTCTAAATTCTGTCGTCTTTGTCTGCTCACCTTGTGGCTTTTAATATCTTGTTTCCCATCTGTCTGATTCCATCATAAGGTGAGCATAACTTTTCAAACCTTAATGCAGCTCTCTTTTTGTCTGGTTTAAGTAAGTGTGTAATGCGAATATGTGACTTGGCCGTCAACAGTAATATCAGAAAGGAATGTGGAAGTGTGTGTTCCCTTTATTGATGTGAAATAAAGAAACGCTTATCTGCAGATATTTGATAATACCTATGTACGGTGCATAGCTCTGTCTCTGAAAGCAAATGAATAGGGAGATGTCTGTATCACTGTATTAAATCTGCTTTAATGTTACAAGTCCAAAGGTTAATTTAAGGATTAGTCCTTAATTAAAGCAGAAAAGAAATGGGTCTATAAGGTTTCAGGAAAGCAGTTTTAAATATAGATTTAAAAATACTTCACTGAATATGTAATACAGATGTACCCAAACTTCATTTTGAGAGCTTGATTGAACTATCTTCCTACTGCAAGAAGTGTCTCTAGGAGTGAGGTCCTAACCGAGTCTTGAATTACAGGGGAACTTGGAGAAATAGACTTATTTTGTTAAAAAAAAAAAAATGTTTTCTAGGGGATATAATGTCTGTAGAAATGTTCAGTTGGGATTTTTTTTAATGCTTGTAGTTCAGCAGTTTATTTAACAACAGTAAGATATAGGTAGATAAATTCTTAAGTGTTCTTTATTAAGGGCATAAAATGTATATGCTGAAAGATGTTTTTGGATAGTGCCTTTTTAGTGAGAATAAATCTTTGGAGAGACCATAGAGAATGAACTGAGCCAGGAAGAGCACAGTAGTCCTGGGACTGTCTATTAACAGTTTCATGGGACAGTAGATAATAGAATCATCTTTAAAGTTTACTGAATTCATTAATGAGCTATTATGGAAGGTGTAAAAGGCAACAGAGTTCACTCAACTAAGTGTGTTTATACATAAAACACAAAATATAAGTTTATTTGTATCATGGTGATACTACTACTAGTAATAATAATAATTCTTTTTGACTGGCTGATTTGACTATGAATAAGGTACCCAACTCAGAGAAGGAAGTCAAAGGGAACCAAAAGGCTTTTTGCTTCATGATGAATTGAAAAACCATAATAAGTATACCAGTTTGAGCAGTATACCTGGGCATATGCATTCAAGCAAGTGATCAGAACATTGACTGAAATGGAGTTATTCTTCAGACCCAGTATCATGTTGAACTGAGGCTTTGATATAGTCTAAGCAACTTGTAGTTCCAAAAGTGCTGTCTTTACTAAGTTTCTGACTTCCCTGGCATTTGCTGTCTCTTGTTGCTGAAATAAGCCTTTGAGCAGAAGTTTAAGTGACACAATTCCAATAGCAAGGATCATGTTTTAGTTCTTTTTTTCCTATTGTACTGTAAACAAGTGTTTTGGAGAAATCTAGATGTGTTCTTTCCACCATCAAAGGAATTATATTCACCTCATCAAGAAAGCTGAAGCTGTTTGCAACACTGTGTTAAAAATATATTTGTTAAGGATAGAGGTTTTCTTGTGAAACTTCGAGAAGCGTTTTGTTTATGAAACTCATAGCTCTATTTGTACAACATAGACTATAAACAAATAAATGGAATGAAATTTTGGCTTCAATATTCAGTATCAATATTTTAAGATTTATGTTTCACTAGATTTTAATTCAGTATGTCCTTCCCAGATTAAGTTAGGTATAACATTTCCTTCCAGAAGCGTGAAAACTTAAATGCACGTATCACAGAGGGCATTCTTGTGTCTTTAAAAGTAAAAGCCCGTTGTAGTGGATGCATCTCACCTGTCGGTGAAATTTGTGTGGAATACAGCAGCTGTGTAGTGTTACACACAAATACAGAAGAATATCTAATGATTAATATTCCGTCATCATTACATAGCCATTTTCTGTGTGAAAAAATATCCCTTTGCAGTGTGACCCCAAATTGAAAAATGGCAGGAATGATGGGTCTAGGGGATGTGTTATTAATAAATAACACACTTTTTTGACTCATTAGACTCTCTCTATAATGTGTGTTTCATTTTAAGTTGCTGAGGAGAGTTACAAACCAGAAGAAAAAGTCCCTTCTGCTTAATCCCAGATCCATTTCCTTAATTGCTGAGACTTTCCTGGGGACTGAAGGACGGACTAGACATTATTCAATGTTTTAGCTGAATGAAGTGACACTGAGCTATAATAAGCTGCAGATGAAATCCAACTACAAAGTGTTTTCTAGCAGTACTCAGGAATAAGGCATTGTATTTCTAGTTAGTATATATGGATATCGTTTTTGGCAGCAGTTAAATTCTTATTTACTGAAGATTTTCCTAGGTTTTCGGCTGGACTAAATCACTGTATCCATGATTTACAGTTAAATATTTGCTTTAAATGTGGGTGTGACACATTCACATTGCCTTTTCAGCGTATAGGGAGAAAGGAAAAGAAAATGAAATGTCATTATTTTTCTAGAAATTCTGATATAATTCACATATTGGGATGTGAATGGTGGACTCTGAATTAATTATTGCCTGTTTTACGTAGATTAGACTGATTATTAGGCATAGAATAATGTAAACATTTGGATCGTCATAGCAGATTTCTTCCATCTAGGGGAGAAATACGAAGAAAATAATATTTTTGGAAAAAAAAGTCACATGGCCTGTTGTTTAGGCAAGCAGTTGTACTTAGTGGCACAACTAGTTAGCAGGATAAAAACAAATATATTGTGTTTGGTGAATTAGTGATAACCTTGCACGCTAACTCTAATGCTTTGTTGCATCACTTGGCTTTTGATGTAATCACACGCTGTATTTTCCTGAAGAAATAAGAGTAAAAAATCTATAGATTATAATAAAACCACTGATTTTCATACGTTACTGCATTATAAATGTTTACTTCTTTTTCCTAAGATGTATTTGTGCTTAGAAAGTATATATTTATACTTTGAAATTATGGTTACTAAATTAGCATGCCATATTTTTAATGAAATTAATCTTTTTCCAGTTTTGTCTGTCTAACTATAACTTGATAAATCTCTCCTTATCTTTTAATGGCAGATGATTTGTCAAGGCTTACCACTTAATTAATATTACAGAGCATGTGGGGAGCTGAAGAATTTAGAAGTATTTTCCATAGCTTGGACATGTAAAATGAGAAGCATAGGAGAAAACAGAAAGATAATCTTGTAACTGAGAAAAAGCCTTTTGTGATTTAAGCATGGGATTGAGGTTCAGGAAATGGTGAGTTCTATCCCACAAATCCATCATGCTTCCCACTAGACTTTGGACAAGACACTGATTTTTTTTTTTCTGTGCTGCAGTTGACCGTTCTGCAAAATATTTAGGATGGAACTGTCTTATCTCTTAGGGCAGTTTAATGCTTGATTTGTCTAGCGTTACTAGTGTTATAGGACATATGTTATTTTTTGAGTTTATTGAGTTGTACTTATACAAGTGCTTCCATGATATAGATGTAGCCTGAATTTTTAATATTAGAAAAGTGTACATAATATGTAATATATAAAGGATACTTTTGTGACATAAATATTTTAACTTACCTATCTGAAGCACATATAAATAGGCAGAAATCTCAGAGAAGTTGTCAATGAAGTGTCAACTTTTCTGAATACTTTGCTTTTTCTCCATTTCCAGGTTGCATGTCTCACTCACGTAGCAGCTAATTACCTTAATTGCAAAATTGAAGGAAAACGCTGGGGTACTGCTCATGGGAACATTGTTCCATATCAGGTAAGCAGAAAGTGTTAGTTTTTCTGCATGATTTTGTGTATTATGGGATTGAGAACTGACTTACTTTTCCCATGACCTGCTGTACTCTGTAATGTGTCTGTGTCTAGGCAGGACAAGGTTCTCTTGTTCGTTGTCATTTCTGCATTTTGCATATTTCTTCATCAGCAGTAGATTAGTAACAGAGCACTGAAATAGATCAAAGCTGTTTGCTGAAATTGGATGATTTTAAAGCTAGCATGATGACTTGATTGGTTTTCACCTGACAGAGAAGCCTTTTTTTTTTTAAGATTTACCTGGCTTCCATTACAAACTGAAATCTTGCCTCTGAATTTTGATGGTGTGGATTGTGTGTGTTTGTGTCTGGTTTTTTTTTTTTTTTTATGTGAGTCTATAAGAACAGTCTAAATGACCATAAAGATCTGGGGAGTCCTACATATTTGTCATTTTCTATTGATTTTGCTACAAATCACTATGACTGAGTAATACAACAGGTTGGCAAAAGGAATTAACCAGACCTCACATCTCACCAGCGGAATTCATAGCCTGCTACATCTAATGAAGAGTTGAAATTCCTTAAAATAACATGACCTTCATCATATAAACAAGCACAGGAAAAAAAAATTACTGCAAGTTTTATCTTACTTCTGGCTAGTATGGGAAACTCTTCCAGTAAACAAAGAAAATTTTGTTCTTTTCTAGCTGGTTTTGTGTTCTTGATGGAAGTCGTGCTAACTTATGGTGGCTTGGGCATATATTGAATTTAAAAAATCTATTCTTTATTTCATAATTTTTGACACTTCTTATCAGTCCTGCTTGCAACTAGCTAGACAGAGCCTGGATTTCTTACTTTCTGGCTGAGTCCTTTAAATCCTGAGAGGAAGAGTTCCCAGTGTTTGTCTGGGAGAACTGCACCTAAACACCACTCAGTTTCTTTACCATCTCCTTTCTTTTTAGAGAAGGTGAGGGAAACTCCATGTATTTTCTTCTTCCCAGTGGCAAAGTTGGTGGTGATTGTAACATGAAAAGATCTGCTGCTTGCGGCCGTAGAAACTCTGAAGCAAACATCTTCCATCATTACGCAGAACACTGTCACTGACTAGTGTCACAGCCAAGCCTCCTCAGGTCTAAAACCAAAACCGGTTGTTTTTGTAAGAGTTAAAAAAGGAGACTTTTTCCAGTACCTACCGCTGCATAGTCAATGGTCTTGTTGGGAGTTAGCCAGAACAGATTGCAAATTGTCTCAGGCCGATGGGGAGATGCTGTGGCTCTTTCTGCATGGATGAGTTTGGTCCTGCAGCGTTCTTGTCTGGGGTGCAGCGCAGCACAGCTGTGGCTGTGCTGCTCTTTGGTTGGCATGGCGTAGCGGTGTGGCCGTGTTTTCTAGGACCAGCTCTGCATGACCCAATGGAACCAGGCATCTGCTACACGAGTAGTTACGTTCTGCTTTCTTTCTGTGATGTGACCTTTTGGTGCAACCCTTTTTGAACTTTGGTATGTTGAAAGTATAAAACAGATCTGAAGTGTCTGATGTTTGTATAAGCAAAACCAGAAACCTGATTAAACAAAACATTTTATCTTCTCCCTACTGCTTTGGCTGAATAACTGAAACTTGCATTCTTTTATGTCCTTTTGCCTTTGTTTTTTCACAGTCAAAATGAAAACCATGCATTAAGTATCTTTTATTTCTTTTTTTCCACAGAATGGAAAAATACTCGTTTAATCTAGATTACTTCTACTAATCTAAATCTACTTCTCATTTAATCTAGATTAGTCAATATGTTAAGAACTAAGTTTTTAGAGAAAATCCTATCTAAACTGTGGTTCCTGTGTTTCTGTATGCTGTTTCTGTAGTAGATATTAGAAATATTACCTAAATGTTATAAACAATTTAAATCTGAATATTCTTGTTCATAAACCAGTAATTAGGGTGGATTTACTATGGGTGGGATTGTGTGTGTGTTTATGGCTCATCTGTTAACATTCCATCAGCTAGCATGGTTATAATTCTGATTGTAACCATATTATGCTTTCTAGAGTTTCTTTCTTTGCTTTACTAACATAAGCTATACTTAGACTGCAAAGCTCTTCAGAAACTTGAATTAACCCTCACTGTTGCTATTGTACTACTTTTGTAGTTGCTTCCATAGCTCATTCGTAATATACTTTAGAACAGAACTCCGAAACGTGACTTTGATCCCTCATCCCAGTTACTGAATAGACTTTTGCTTAATAAACTGCTACATGACTATCACAGTGTTGATTTTTACAAATAAATGAGTTGTTTTGTTTCAAGATATTTTGTGCAAGTGAACTATAATTTGTTCAAATGATAAAAATCACATTTCAGAAAATCAAATTTCTATCTATTTCAGAACATGTATGTGGTAGTGAACTGTTGTTTTTGTTTTCTTATATCCTCAACTTTATTTTCTTTTCTTTTGCAGTATTTGAGTTTTCACACAGGTAGTAAATTTTAACTTTGAAGTGATACACAGCCTACAATCCTTCTAAAAAGTTTCAGACTAGGTTAAATTGTGGAAGATTGGGTAAACTATTAAAAAGACAAAATCTAAATAATTTACATCGTCTTTCTGTGTGGCAGAAGTCTGATCACAGTCACGCTAGAGACTTTTGACATACTTTTTTTTTAAAAAAAAGTATGTCAAAAGCATCTTAAATGTGTACATAAATAGTACTTTTTTCCTTACAGTTGTTACAGTAAGTGTTCTAGTGCTGTGTAACACATTCAGTAATGTATACTGAATGCTATTGTAGCTTTCATTTAATTGAACTTCAATTGAATAATTTTGTTCAGAATACCTTTGCAAATGGCTCTAATTGTTTTTTATTTACAAGGCCAAATTTAGCTTTTAGTATATGGCTGTAATTTCACTGAACTCCTTGTTGCTTCTTGACTGAAAAACTAGCAGCGTAATTTGTCCCTGAATGTGTTCTCTAGATTGACCTTTCTTATTTTCCCTTGTATTTAAAAACATAAAAATTGAGCATTGATGTGCAGCTGGTTTTTCTCTTTCCTGAAACTACCAAGGTGTATAACACCTTTGAAAATCTCTTTCTGGTCTGAGCAACAAGGACTTAATAAAAGAGATGTAAAGTTTGGTGTGCAAGGACTTTTTAAAGGTTTTTCTCATTTGCTGATACTGGGCTGACTTTGTGGCATGCTCATCTGAAACTGTCTGAGTTTTCAGTTCTGTGTGCTTATCCCCAGAACCCAAAGGAAAGAATTTGAACTTTTTGAGTGTGCCATGTCTTTCAGGGTTCCTGTAAAGGTTTGCTGTAGGTTTTCAGTGGAGGTGAACTTTGCAACGTGCCGCAAAGATGAAGAACTCTAGATTCTAATCAACCGAAATCAGAAATAGATTTGAGTGCTGAACCCTTCATGAGAAATTCTGTACTTTGAGCATATCTGCTTTTTAATCAGAGTAATGTAGTTTGAATAGGTCATTCCTGTGGTAATGCGGGTAATCAGATCCCAATTTCCTTGGTTTTAAGTGTTAAAACACAAACCTTGAGTTCTGGAATGTATCTTAAATGTAATTAGTGAAGTTTTTTAAAACAAGTTTCTATAATGAGACACCTTGTTTAGCAACAGCTGCTCCATGATTATCCAGAGGAAATCAAGGGCTTAAAAGCATCCGGTTTACATAATTGTGCTGAAAACTAAAGTTGTATTACTGTCTTTCATTTGGGATGATAAGGTCTTCCCTCATTCTTGTAGTTTCAGCAATGTAGCTGTCTTGCTGGTATTGCACGTGAGATCTAGACACTCACTTTTTCATCTTCCTATTGATCCACTCGGAATGGCTATTCATTCTCCTGAGAAAGTCTCGCATGTTTACAAGACATTTCCTCTGGCACCTTATTGCCCTGCCATTAGACACCTGAACAACTAGGCAGCACTTTCAGAGGCAAACTTTCAGCAAAAGTTGTAGGGCTGTTTTCTCTTGGACCATAATGATGAAAGCTCTTGAAAAACAGAGACCAAGCTCTTACAGATATCACATCCCCCCTGCCAGTCAAGGGGCACAACTATTCTGCACAGAAGTTGAAACCACAAGACGGGAAAAAAATCATTATTTTGACCAATTATCTTTGCTGTTGACTGACTTATGCATTGTCATGACTTATCAGAACCAACATTAATTTTTTTTTTATTAGGAACATCACTGAGATTCCTTAAGCATCCACTTCTTGTTGTGCTAGGCATAAAATTTCCTTCATATGAGGAGACTCTGTGTGAAAGGCCTTGCAGTTGAAATGTGTTATGAAAACCAAAGTATAAGGTCACAAGGAAGTGAAAGGTTTGAGGTAGTAGGAAGATGAGTGTAGTAATAGAGATAAATATCTCTGCATTTAGGATCTGCATCTCATACTTTTTGCTTGTAGAATTTCATCCTGTCCCAAGAGCCTTACAAAGAAAGTCCCACTCGCGTCACTTGTGTCTCATCACAGGAACAGAGAAATGCAGTAAGTTGTTACTTACCTGATTCATCTGACAGAGATGCTTTTTATACAGAGGCACAATGTGTACCAACTTTCCTAACTCAGCTCTGGAGAATGTCGCAGATATTTTCATTACTTTTTTTTTGTTTTTCTTCCTTTTTTTTTCCCCCCCTTCCAGTGGAGAGGGCAACAGAATAATGTCAATCATTCAGAAATTTCAAACTGCTTATTCCACACAAGAATGGTGATGTGTAGTCTTTTTCTTTTCTGCCTTTATGTGGTTTTATAGGGATACTTCTGCAGTTAATGTGTCTCGGAGTCAAAATCAACAAAGAATAGAACTTGGATTGTTTTCAGTTTTGTTTTGTGCATGAAACGCTCTGTCTTAAATAAGTCCAAAATGGTTGTTATGGAAGAAAATATTTCTGCTCTGTAATGACTCAAACTAGGAGAAGATGAAACTTACGCACAGGAAAGAAATAAAATACAGATTTTTTTGGAGGAGTTCTAGATTCAGGAAATGTGAGACTTCTTAC